TTGCTTTTAATTCATATTTAAAGCTGCAACTGGCTCTGTGGAGCTCTCTGCGAAAGACTAGAGGCGCCTAATTAATAATAAGTTAGAAACGAAGGAAGGCACCAGCGGATAAATAATTAATACAGACATCTCTGTCTCTTTGAATATTGCTACTTTAAAAATTTAGACTTACCAGGGCCATACTGTAAGTCTGCAAGTTATATTGAGGAGATGATTTAAGAAAGCTATTTTTTTTTTCCTGAAATACAATGCTAAATTATTTACGGTGTTTTGCAATCTTCCAGAAGTTCCTTCATTAACAAGCGCTGCGGTTTGCTCCGGGGGGTGCGGGAGAGCGGCGGCTGCAGAGGGACCGCGGCGGCTCGGCCGGGCAGCGCCCTGCAGCCCCCGGGGCTCGCTCGGTGCCCTCTCCCAGCTCTGCGTCCTTCAGCCGGCCCGACACCACCGCGGGGGCTCCAGAGGGGAGAAGGGAAGAGCCCAGCGCCCTTAGGCAGGTGACAGGGGCCGGTTTGGAGCAAATTCAGTCACCGCTCTGCCGACCCAGGGATCCACGAGGCTCCCCTCGGGCAGAAGTCCGGGCCCGGGGGTGAGGGCTGCGGGAGGGGGAAAGGCAGGACCCCCCCGGGCGGGCACCCGCAGCGAGCCCCCGCCGCGCCGCAGCTTCCCCTGAAAGCCAGGCCCTCCCCCACCTGCCCCGGCCGGCGCAGCCCTCTGTTCTCTGCCTGCCCCCGACAGATGTATATGTTTTTGTCGCCAAGCAAGTTTCCAAGAAGCTCGACAGGGGAAAGTCTGGAAAAGTTAATCCCCCCCGGCAGCTGTTGGCTTTGGGAGCCTTCGAGCGTCACCTTTGACACGCTCCCCGTGCGAGGGGACCCGGTGCCGCAAGCTGTCACCGCACAGGAGGCGCGGGAGGGCGCGGGCGGCAGCAGCCCCCTCACAAGCCATTAAAAGAAAATCAAAGTGGAAAAAATATAATACAAATAAAAATAAATTAAAGGAAGAAAAACCAAACAAAATAAAGGAAAATAAAATTTAAAAAAAAAAAAAAAAAAAGAAAAAAAAA